ATGACAACGTAAGTTTATCTCCGCACCATGTAGCTGATAAGTCTCTTATTATTTCCTCTGCAAAATATTTGCTCCCTTTTCCTTCTAACAAAGTTTTCGATGGCTCCATAAAGTGCGTAAGGAACTCGTCTTTGGATTGTGATTTTACATAATTAGACTCCCTTTTTGTATAATCGTCCGTATAATAATAAGAAAACACGGTATCTTCCAAACGAAACTGTATTCCTATAGTCATCACTGCATCATATGATGATATTAGGTCAGTTATTGTTGAATTGACCAGAGTTAATGGTTTGACATCCTGGTGAGGAGTATGTGTCAGCAGCAATTTCGCCTGCATTTTCACAAATTTCATCCGAAAATTGGTGGCATCGTTTTTTTCTATTTGCAATTGCAAATTAGACGAGAAATAGGTAGTTGCATAGTAACCATAGTAACGAGGGTTGAAACGCGCACATTCACGTGCAATGATTGTTTTAACGTCATTTTAATCGGTTTTGTTGATATTATGCTGTGTTTAGTACGAGCAACATTTTATTTGGCTGTATCTTCGGTGGGGATGAATACTTTTTGACACGATTAAAACTGACTTCCAAAGAATACTATTAGGTTCCTCCCTGTGGCCACGGGTTTTCTAGTCTCTACTATAATTCAGAGAATTATTTATGTATGTAGAATGTATGTACGACCGGCCACGTGCAAATTTGATTAGAAGTAGGAAGTTAGGTAAAAACCAAAAGGTTGCATAGCAGCTACGGTGGTGAACGCGCACGTGCACGTGCAATGATTGTTGAAACGGCATTTTGATCGGCTTTGTGGTAATTATACGTTGTGTTTAAAGTGTTTAACATTTAAATCGGCTGTATCTTCGGTTGTGGCGGATATTTTTTGATGTGATAAAAACTGACTGCCAAAGAATACCATTAGCTTCCTCCCTGTGACCACGGGCTTTCTAGTTATATATAAAACATAGTTACCTCGACACCTAAAATGCCTTCCAACTTGGTGGAGAGGCGAACTTCAACCCTTAGTGATATTGCGTTAACTAAACAGTAGGGATCACACAAAACAAAAAACAAGACTCAACCACATTTTACATTATATCAGAGGCTGATAGGGCTTAAAGTTAAACTTTCAATACTCAATGATCAATTCGGGTAACTTGATAGTTAATATAATGTCAAAATGTATTATTAATTACAGTGGCGTAACGTTGCCTGTTGGCGCCCCCCCCCCCCCCCCCCCCCCCCCGCTGAAAAAGCGCCCCTGTTGGTCGCCCTCCCCTATTGGCGCCCCTCCCTAAAATTGAACAAATTAGATGATTTTAGAGGATACACCGGTAAAATCTCTAAAAAATGGTGTTTCTAGAGCAAAACGCGCAGTTTTGCTAGTACGCGACGGTAGACCGTGTCCGTAGTTAAGTTTTTCCAAATTGTCCCACATACAAACGACGATTTGGATTTTGGCACCCCCCCCCCACCCCGCAGTGGGGTCGGCAGGGCCCTTTGTTACGCCACTGATTAATTATATGATATCATGCCGTAGTGGATAAGATCAGAAATCGTAATACGTACATATTCAGATACAATATAGTAGCTGTTCATTTCTGCTTAGATATCCTAACTTCTCTAATTCTCCGTCCCGTCAGATTCACAGACTGGGATGATCCCTTTAAAGATTCTCTGTGGTTTGCCATAGTAAATGGTCGCAGTGTTCAGGAGTGGCATTCGTTCACAGGATTCATCTAAAGGTAGCATTCGGTCACAGGTTTCATCTCAACGTAGGTTTCGGTCACAAGGTTCATCTCAGCCTAGGATTCGTTCGCAGGATTCATCTCAACGTAGGATTCGTTCACAGGATTCATCTCAGCGTAGGATTCGTTCTCAAATTTGAATAGTGCAAGTATAACTTGGCAATCTTGTATCAATACTATAATTCAAAGAATCATTTCTGCTGTATAATGTAGAATGTATGTCTGTACGACCGCCCACGTGCAAATTAGGTGAAAAAAGGAAGCTGCATAATAACCATGGTAACGGTGTTGAACGCGCAAGTGCACGTGCAAAGATTGTTAGAACGACATTTTGATCGGTTTTGTGGCAATTACGTTTTGTTCAGTGTGAGCTGCATTTTAATCGGCTGTATCTTCGGTTATTTACAGATAATGGGATCAGCTCCAAGTAGAGCAGTATTTGCGGTCAGCAGTGATGTCTATCGTGTGTACCTTCACACTGGTTCCATGTTGCCACAAGCCAACAAGATAAAAAAGATCGACGGCACTATAAAGATCACCATTAACCCCGGTGCTAACGACGATCCTGAAGCAAAGGTTTGTCAGTCGAAAATACTGAAGATAAAGGAAAAATTCTCTTCTCACAGCGAGGGAACGGTGGACGTTGAGTTTTGGGTACCGAAAGAGGAACGAGTTGGCGAGCCAAAACTTCTGAAAATTGAGTTGGATGGAGGTTCATGCAGCTGCATTTGCACGGAAGACCCTCTCTACATTCGAGAGGTAACAGTGATGTGGGATAATAAAACCTACAGGTTCCCCATACACAACTACCTTAGTCCATACACCCCCCGTAGTGCCTGTTGTGGATGTACAGAAGGTGGCACTCCCCAGCAAAGATGTGTTCCATATCTTTATGCAACGCCAGGACACGGTACTCTGAAACACAATGAAACGGAAGATTTCATATTGAGAGCCAGGGAGAAAGATCACAACATCACCCATTCAATGATGCCCTGGGAGAACGCGGTTAAAGTAGGACCATTACCTAGCTGGATTGATGTGAAGGGTGGGGAGTACAAGAACCTGCCTAGGTTCCTCCAATTCCGAGATGCATGGCTGGATGCCTTCGAAGGATCGATCGACGCAGGTGAGAATAAGCTGATATGTCCTGTTATCCTCAACAAAGTGTGTACACTGTGTAGTTGCTGTTGCGGCGGGACTCCTCAACGCCACTTCAGATCCTTCACCGACTATGCGGACTCCTTCACTGAGATGGGTGAATCTGTAGGATGGAATAAAAAAAGCATTCAAGACGGTCTGAAGGTGGGCCAAATTTTCCATCACGACGCAGAGTTTGCCCGTCAAATCATTCAGGGTCCGAATTCGACGAGGTTAAGGAGAGTGGAAACGCTTTCCGACACATGGCAGGAGGGAATTGACAAAGACATGCTCCCAACATATGCAATTGACGGAGAAGATCTTAATGATGTCATCAAAGATGGACGGCTTTTTGAAATATTGAATTCAGAAATACTGAATGATATCGGCCATGGCGGTAAGAAGAGCAAATTTATAACTGGAACAACACAAACATGGTACGTAGTTCAGGCGGACTGTCTACTTTTCCAGAGTAACACGCGTCCTGAGGACGAATCTTTTGTCCCCGTCTTGATACGTTTAGAAAACAAGAATGATGGGGAAAAACAAACCTGGTGGGCCCCAGCCGAGAACGATACCAGTAAGACTGATCCGAAGTACTTGTCTTGGCTCTTAGCCAAAATGTATTTCAGATGTGCTGATTGGGGAATCTACAGCATTGGAACTCACTACATAAGAGCACATGCGATGAATGAGGTGTTTGCCTCGTCTATGTATCGCAATCTACCAAGTGCTCATCCCTTGTTTAGACTTCTACAGCCCCATTTCCAAGGAATCATCGGAATCAATATGCAAGCAAGGAAAGTTCTAATCAGTCCAACAGGTAATGCCTTTGCTACATTTATGTCCTCCGCTGATGATCTGCCTAAATTACTGGTAAACTGCTGCAAAGAGCTGGACTACGAAAACTTAGTCATTCCTAAAGACTTTGAAAGCAGAGGACTTAAAGATCTGCCAAACTTCCTTTTCAGGGATGATTCAGAGGATTTGTGGATGATCCTACTAGACTACGTTAAAAACATGGTGGATCTGTCCTATCTGAGCGAAGATGACGTCTCTAAAGATACCGAATTGCAGAAGTTTGTGGAAGAGATTAGAGGTCCTGGCTTTGAAGGGTTCGGTGGAGCAGGTTTCCCAGAATCTATCGAAACTAAAGAGAAGTTGGTTGAATATCTCACTGCGCTCATTTTCAATGTGTCCTGTTTCCACACAGGTGTAAACTTCCAGATCAACAAATACCTGGGCTACATTGTTAATGCACCTCCAAGTCTCAGACTGCCACCACCAGAACAGGACGATGTGATCACCATGGAGCATATCATGAACAGTCTCCCACAATACGAAGTCGCTCTGGCAACCATGGTCATCACAGAGGTACTAGGTAACTTCTCTCCAATCGAGCGATTTTATGTGGAAACAAAAGCAGAAAATAAGCAAGGATATCTGGGAGAAAACTTGGCCGTTTCACTGGAGCAGGAGGGCCATATTAAGGATATGGTGAAGGAAATGGAGAAGCTCAGAGACAAAATAGCAGATAGAAATAAAGGGAAGTATTTAGCGTATGATGTGTTGAGCCCCAACAACATTCCCATCACCACCCAGACATGATCAACTGAGAATGCAAAATCCGGATCGGAAAATTATTTTATTATTTAGAGTCGCATAATTGAAATGTTTCTTAGGTAAAAATTTGTATTGTGTTTGTATTTTTATTGTATGAATAATGCCTTTCCTGATAAGAGCCTTTTCCTTGTTATAAATATAAAACATAGTTACCTCGACACCTAAAATGCTTTCCAACTTGGTAGAGGCGAACTTTAACCCTTAGTGACTGTTATTGTGTTTAACTAAACAGTAGGGATCACACAAAACAAAAAACAAGACTCAACCACATTTTGCATTATATCAGAGGCTGATAGGGCTTAAAATTTCAATACTCAATGATCAATTTGGGTAACTTAATATAATAATGTATTAATTGATGTATTATATAATATCATGCTGTTGTGAATAAGATCAGAAATCGTAATACGTACATATTAAGATAGAAGATAGTAGTTGTTCATTTCTGCTTAGATATCCTAACTTCTCTAATTCTCCATCCCGTCAGATTCACAGACTGGGACGATCCCTTTACAGATTCTCTGTGGTTTGCCATAGTAAATGGTCACAGTGTTCAAGAGTGGCTTTCTCTCGCTCAAAAGTTTACAGCAAAGAGGCTGATGACTGAGTGGCTGCTGTATATTGAAGAGAAGGAAAACGAGTTCCTGCAGAACTGTGTAAGTTTTTATTTTCTTTCTAATAATCACGAGGCTATTGCGTACTCAAAACAAAACCGAAATGTTTCAAGTGCTAAATTAATTTTGGCGCTAACTGCTAAGCATGTTGGAATGTGTAACGTTGTATCAATAATTAAAATACCATATCCCACTCTCAGACGGTTCTGAGAGACAACAAACCACCACCTCCCTTCCTGCAGCACACATCTGAGGATCTAATCTATGAGACTCTGTGCAGTCCGAATATTCACATAATTTGGGCTGCCATGCAACTGGCAGAGTCTGTCGAGTACCCTGGTATTGTGAATATAATTCGCTCAAATTGCTAATTATAATCATGGATTCATGTACTATCAGGATTTTTAAATTCCCAAAATTAGTTATTTAGGCAATTTGGTATTATTGCCATGCCACATTCATTTGATCTCTAATTTTGTGATATAAGTTCAAAGTAAATTAGGAAGAGGGACAGAAAACCATTCTCATGAACCTCAGGGCAGAACATACCCAGGATGGGGCCAGGGCACTTGCAGCGAGGTTCGACGAATGTTTCCCCTGACGGAAGGTCTAGTAAGGCCTCTTACCTCTCAACATCTCCCAACACTAGCCCCAAAGTGTTCAGTGAAACCAACCCTCCTAACAGACGAATGCTGGCTAGTGGGCAGGATGCTGTCCCCGTTACCCCCACTCCTCCGGTTTGTAAATCTTGGTTTGACTATTTTTGCCGCATACAATTTCTCCAACCGAGGGTGAGAAATCCTGGAATCCTGGAGAAATCCATCTTCAAAAACTGATTTTCAGTACGTCAATTTGGTTTTATAACATCATCAATTAACTGACTGATTGGTCTCTGAACAAAATTTGTGTTCAGAAATTTCCATATTTTCATATTTGAAAATGGGACAGAATTTAGAAAATATGAATTTTTGTTTTAGAATATTTTAATTTTTGGGACCTTGCACTCCGCATTCAACTAGTATTTTAAGATAACTGTCATCCTATTGATTGTATATACTATATGTCTTTTGAAACACCCTGGACAATGTACATTGTACATGTACCAGTTTGAGGACAAAATGTAATTTATTTGCAAACTTTTCCGTCGAAATCATTAATAAACGTCACCTACCTCAGGTGTCAATTAAATCCTACTGTGTTCAGGTAGTTGCAGTAGTTGAGGCCCCGGAGGTTAAAAACCCGGCCCCAGGCCGGCGAGGTGACGCCGTGATCACCATGATGACGCTGAACGATCCAACCCTCAACCAGTTAGAATACGCTCTCTACAACACCCCTGGGCTAGATCTCTCCATGGACAAGCTTACAACCGTCCCTAAGAACTTTCTAGACGTCCTGCGAACGAAGGAGCTTCTTGCTAAGTTTAGAAACTTCCTCCTCGTCAACGAAGACAACCAGGATCCTTCAATCTTGTTCTACCAAATTGTCGAGAGTCTAAGAGCTTGTAGAAATCCGAAACAGAGACAAGACCGTATGCAATTCGTCCTACAGAAGTTCTTCGGCCCTCTATCAGGCCTGAAGGAAAAATTAATGGTGGATAAAAACAGCGGTGTATTTAAAGAGTTGTGCAGTTCGAAGAAAGTTACCCACACAATGCTGATCACGGCTCAAACTCTAGTTGTAAAGGAGATGGAGACCGTTTATTGGCTGCAGTTCGTGGAGGCTTTTTCTCCTAATATCCGGGAAAAGATAATCAATATGAATACGTTGGGAACAACTGAGAAAAAGGAGTTTGGGAAAGAGAAGAACAGGCGACTCTGGGTCAACTTCACAATAAACGTCATCAACTTCAAAAACGGGATCATGGATCCGAATGTTTGCAAACATTTCAGGCATTTTCTGGCAGGTTACGTCAAATCGGTTTCCTCTATTTGCACCAAAACTACCCAGAAGCGGCAAATAGTCAATAACAAACTTATCGATATTGATAAAATTCAAGCTGATCTGGATTTCTTCATCGAGGTAATATACTTTTTCAATATCTGAATCCTTTTTGATCTGAATTTGAATTCATGTTAAATAGATTCAATATGTCAGCAGTCGGTTGTTTATTACACTCTCAATTTCTGTACACGATTCCAATTCTCATCGGATTGTCATTATATTCGCAATTTGTAGGTGGAGAAGTACAAAGAAATATGCGAGGGAACACAAATGTCAGCCAGACAAGGAAACTACGATCCAGGGGAGGAGGAGATCCTAGTACAAAAGGGCCGGGTCCTCTACAGCTGCTACATTGACTCTCTCCTACCTCCCAAAGTGCAGATCAACATCACTCATGATAAGGTTGTTGGGATTTTCTTATTGTACTTCAAGGTTTATGACTGCTACCTTGAGAAACTCTGAAAAGTTAAAATTTAAACCATTACCCTGATCACTGTACAGGTATCGGAGATTAGGAAGCTTCACGACACAGGACTGTTCGAGCGAGGCATGTTCCACGACGCTGCCCTGTCTCTCTTCCCTCTCCTCACCTATTTCTGGAAGAAGTTCTGTCTGCAAAGATATGCTCCCTTGAAGGTGGAAATATTGGACGAAGACAAACTGATATTGAAGGAACGAAACAACAAGGGTGATCTGTACAAGAGCAAGGTTCCGAGAAGTAGGATGGGAAGCAACACCAATGTGATTGTGAAGAATACGGGCAATGTACTAGCATCAATTCGAATTCCACATGTGGCACATGGTGTGACGCATCTTTTAAACAGGTTAGAGTTTTGCTGTTACCCCTTTATTTCGCGGAGTGAATCTGTCTTGAACCACGTTTAAGAGTTACAGTGACCAGATCTCTCGTTAACAGCTCTAAGTTATAAACCTCCCAGGTATACAGAGTCAGGTGGCCTGGTGCAGCTCCTAGCACAGAACACCAGTATACACCATGAGAAGACACCAGCAGGATCTCCCCCTAAAACACCCACTATTACCGGGGTTGATATGAAACCTGGCGGAGAGCCAGTAAACGGGGGACTAGGTTTAGCTGGACTTGGAGGTGGATTAGGAGCTGATTTGGGCACTCTCAAGCCTGGTGACAGAAGACTGTCTACATTGACCAACTATGCACGGAGGAGGACTAGTATCATGAGCACGGGAAAATTTCAGGGAATCAGAGAATAAACCTGTTTTATCAGGGTAACGTTCATTTTTATAGTGAATTGAGATTGACAAAAAACCAGAGCTTATCATCATGATTATCATATTACTATCGTGTCAAAATTGAAATATGTGACCGTATAAAGAGACATGAACTTTGAGACTATTATTTGAGATTAGAACGATATGAATCATTGTTCATTAGCTGATTTTAACGATACAGTTGTCGACTGTTACCCAACTAAATTGAATCATACGATTAAAACCTTCGTTGTATTATCAAACAGTAATTTTCTTTGATAAAAATGTCTGACTCATTTATTATTCTAGATCCGTTATCAATTATAAGATACAATAATTATAAGATACAATAATTATTATTAGATAGTTAAGTGTCATCAAACAAATGATACGACGTATTCCAGGGTGATCTGCTGAAGACTCAACTAGTTTCGGCCTTTGAGGGCCATCCACAGGAGTGTCACCTAGCAGAAGTCAAAAATTTAATAAACTGATATCAGAAGAATATGTCATATTAGTAAACATACGGTTAATTAATCTGAAAATCCATAGTAAAGTTACAAACTCATGGGGCAGAAAAAGAAACAAAGTGTAAACTCGATGTACAAAAGTGAGAACTAGAAAGCGGAAAATAATTATTATTAAAAATAGATAATCGACCGGTTGAAATCGTTAATAATAATCGTTGGTCTATCGGAGCGATCTGAGGACAAGTGTGATGGCCGGGAAATGCTATTGCTGCCGAAACATTAATGGCTCAGTGAATCTATTGAGATGAGAAAAGTAAATGGTAATTCAACCTGTACCTGTAAAAAATATAATTTTATTGACGGTATTCGGGTTAATACTAATATCTCATTTATTATTCCCGGACGGCTCCAGCTAAACTCACACTAATTTCACAAAGCATTTCCCACAGTTTTCCGCACCTCAACTTCACAACAGTTTTATAACACCTACCTCAAAAATTCATTCGACTTTCAAAGTAGCAACCTTCACCTATCACCATCCTAACACTAACCTAGCAACAACCAATCACAGATCAGAAATACAAATCACGTGACACTCGATTAACTCTCCTTAGCCGTCCGTGGCCTCACCTCTAATTAGTTCTTAGTAGAAACTTCTCATACGCAATGATTTTGTAAAAGAGCCTTTTATACAGTTTTCCTGACTTAAGACTTTTCGAGTCACCTACATAACTCGTGTATCACTTGAATAACCTAAAATAGAGTAGCTCGAGTAGTTCTCAAGATCCCGGTAGCACTGACCTGTACATACCACTGAGTGATTCCATCTGTACCACCACCTGTACCACTGAGTGATTCCATCTGTAGGCTGACGGACAACTGGGAACCTGTCAATTTTACCTAGTTAATTAATTAACATGCAAGCTTGGGAAATCCAATCAGCTCCGACAACTAGGAACCAATCATTACATATCCCGGACAACTGGGAACCTCTGGAGATACTTTCAATCAGGTGTCCACTGATTTCGCAGCTGTGCTGTATGTGGCCAAAGTATTTGGCAATCTCAAACAGATATGAGATAGTCAACCTTGCTAGAGCAATTGGAAGTTTTCCTTTTAATCCTTTTCTTAGAAGGAGTTTTTCCAACACCCAGTCGATCGATATGGTAAGCACGGAGAGGAGGTTCTGGGTCACCGACAAGGGCTGTTCAGCAGCTTTCTGCTTCAGTGAGGAGAGGACTTCACGCTTCTGTGGAGCAGCGTTGTCAGCAGGGCGGTTGTGGAGTTTGGAACCAAGGGATAAAGAGTTATCTGACAGGTTGAGGTAGGCATGACAGGGACCCCCCGACAATTGACCCCCTATGTAATTACACTGGGGTCAATTGTCGCGAAATATAGGGCTAAGTACGACAATTGACCAGGGTCCTGAGTCAGGGTTAGGGTTAAGGTTAAGGTTAAGGTTCGGGTTAGGGTTATGGTCAGGGTCAGGGTCAGGGTCAGGGTCAGGGTCAGGGTCAGGGTCAGGGTCAGGGTCAGGGTCAGGGTCAGGGTCACAGGGTCAGGGTCAGGGTCAGGGTCGGGGTCGGGGTCGGGGTCGGGGTCGGGGTCGGGGTCGGGGTCGGGATCAGGGTTAATTGTATTAAATTATAATTATATTGTCGGGGGGTCAATTGTCGGGGGTCAATAATCGGGGGATCAATTGTCGCCCACCCGCTACCCGGTGGTACAGGTGGGGTGGGCGACAATTGACCCACAATTGACTGGGTGGTTCTACCTGTACCACCACCTGTACCACTGAGTGGCTCCATCTGTACCACTACATGTACCACTACCTGTACTTTTCGAGTCTCCTACATAACTCGTGTTACGTGTATCACTTGAATAACCTAAAATAGAGTAGCTCGAGTAGTCCTCAAGATCCCGGTAGCACTGACCTCTACCACTGAGTGATTCCATCTGTACCACCACCTATCTAGATAAACACTAAATAAACAGTAAACAGATAACTCTTATAAACGAATTATCGGAGATAATTATCGGTTACGATTATCGGAGTGAATAGCCTAAATGCTAAAGCCGGTTTTAAAGATCCTGTGATAACTTTAATGTGATCAAAGTCAGAAGGCCATAAAATATAATCTAATCTAATCTAATTAGCCAAATATTTGGCTCTAAATTCGAAAAGTTTGCAGGTTCTAGCAGACTAATCAATGGCTATAAAAAAGTGAGAATGTGGGGAGATTAAAATGATTGGAATTCAAATAATCGGTAGGCCACAATTTTAGGATTATTAAGTTAAAACTCTTAATACGATTTCGTAACCAGTTTGTTGGTTTTTTGCTTTGCTTCTACTATGGAAGACCAAGAGTATGGAACGAGTAAAGGTGACAATCGAGAGTTGATGAAGAAGAACATCACATTGACAAGAGGAATATCTCTGGTAGTAGGCGGGATTATAGGGACAGGTATCTTTATCACACCCAACTACATAACTCAAAGTGTGGGGGCTCCAGCACCCTCTATCCTTATGTGGAGTGTCGGGGGTCTCATAGCTGCCGCCGGAGGAATGTCATTTTGTGAACTGGGGACCATGTTCCCAGTGTCTGGTGCTGAGATAGCCTACATAAAGAGGATCTACGGACCACTTCCAGCATTTCTGACTGCTTGGTTTAATTATTTCCTTCTAGGTGGAATGTATATTGCTATTGGAATTCTTGGATTTACCAAATATTTTTGGACAATTTTCTATGATAATCCTGAGTTGCAGGTACCTTTTTGGGCTGACAAACTTTTAGGACTGTTTGTGACCTTCATGTTCATCAGCCTCGCAGCCTTCGTGCCGACCCTCAACGTCCAGTCGCTCGTTGTCGAAAACTTCTTGAAGATCACAGCCATACTGGTCATAATAGGTGCTGGATTCGTCCACCTCATACAAGGCCATACAGAAAACATATCAGTAGGATTTGAAGGAACTAACCCAGACCTCAAAGGATGGGGAGGAGCAATAAACGGAATTATATGGTCATATTACGGCTGGGAAATGATATGCGGAGTAACTAGTGAGGTCCAGAAGCCTCAAACAAATGTACCGATCATAGTTGGGGTATCTGTCACCACAGTTTCAGTTCTCTATATCCTGGCCGTATCGAGCTACCATATTGTCATCCCCCTCACTGATATTGTTAAAGATACTCCAATAGCAAGCCAATTTGGTCTCACTACCATGGGTAGATTCGGAAAGATATTTCTAGCCTTAGCAGTCATGGTATCATCTTTTGGTAATGTTCACTGCACTTTCCTAGCAGCAAGTCGGACTATTCACTCGGCAGCAGTAGAGGAGCTGCTACCAGAAGCTCTGACTTTGGTGAGCAAGAGATTTAAAACTCCGATAGTGACGGTGTTCTACTTGGGTCTGGTGACGGGAGTGTTTGTAGTAATTGGAGACCTGAACGGACTGATAGACTCGGCGGTGTTCACCACATTTCCCTTCTACGTTATGTGTTGTGTCGGAGTGTTTGTGATGAGGATACGAGCCCCTGACCTGGAGCGACCCTACAGGGTGCCGCTAGTTTTCCCTGCTTTCTTCATCTTGTTCGGTATCTTTGCCTTCGTTACCCCCTTCACTTCTCAAGCAACCTGGAAGATATCTCTGATGTGGGTGATGGTGCTGATGACTGGAGTTCCTGTTTACTTCTTGTTCGTCAGGAATGTGTTCAAATTAGACTGTTTTCATAAGGCTTCAAAAACATTGACTAGATTTCTGGCTACCACTTTGGATTGTGAATAATTGGTTTGTAGTTAGTTTTTGCTTGCACGTTGCAGTCCTCATGTTACAAGATAAGAAGATTTTGATACTGATTTTATAATTATAGTAAGTTTTAATGCTAATATTCCTACTACATAGTAATAAAAATAAATTACACATTTTACGATCACGACACCTATATTACGGCTGAATTAATTTCTTTCTTTAGTTATATGGATCTTATACTAAGAAGTTTTAAAGCAAGATTGACTGTACATGGGTCTAAACTCTGAACATAACACAATTCAACGGATTATAATATGTAATACTAATACAAAACATGGACAGACAGAGCATTGTAATTAATAGTTAAACTTAAAGAGAATTTAAAAAGTAGCAAGACAACTGTGTACAGCTTGAGCTACAAAGTGTGTTAATACAACGTGTATCAATTAAATACCAAAGTTGAATCTCTTTGTATTACGTCGTTACGTGACCCCCATACCACGGTCGTTTCATTAAATTCTTTATCGCTCTTTAAGTTAATACAGGGCCGGGGGAGCATGGTGCGCGGCGGGTCATACAAGTACAACGTATGACAAGAAATAATGTGAAGCCTGGTGCCCAGGTTTTAATTTTACATTTTACAGAGATAAGAATTAATAAACAATTGATTCATGATCAGATTTGCAAGAGCTCTTTTCGTAATCCTAAGCAGCTCATATTTCACTGCTTTTTTAATTTCATATACGATCTTAACCTCTGGTTGATTTTTTGTGGTTTGTTATTACGATTCCTCAATGGCAATCGAAGATAAAGAGTGCAATACTAATACTAGTTATAGTAGTACTACGGATAACTTAACTGAAGGAGCAGACAAAAGTGACAATCGAGAGTTGATGAAGAAGAACATCACACTGACAAGAGTAAGGAATATCTCTGGTAGTAGGCGGGATTATAGGGACAGGTATCTTTATCACACCTAACTACATAACTCAAAGTGTGGGGGCTCCAGCACCCTCTATCCTTATGTGGAGTGTCGGGGGTCTCATAGCTGCCGCCGGAGGGATGTCATTTTGTGAACTGGGGACCATGTTCCCAGTGTCTGGTGCTGAGATAGCCTACATAAAGAGGATCTACGGACCACTTCCAGCATTTCTGACTGCTTGGTTTGTTCATTTTCTACTCAGAGGTATGGGGATAGCTATTGGAATTCTGGGCTTCACTAAGTATTTTTGGTCAATATTTTATGATAATCCCGAGTTGCAGGTACCTTTTTGGGCTGACAAATTTTTAGCGCTCTTCGTCACCTGCGTGTTTATCGGCCTCACAGTGTTCGCCCCTACTCTCAATGTCAAATCACTTGTAGTCGAGAGCGTCTTAAAGATCATAGCTATTTTGGTCGTAATCGGAGCAGGATTCGCCTACCTTGTACAAGGGCACACAGAAAACATATCAGTAGGATTTGAAGGAACTAACCCAGACCTCAAAGGATGGGGAGGAGCAATAAACGGAATTATATGGTCGTATTACGGCTGGGAAATGATATGCGGAGTAACCAGTGAGGTCCAGAACCCTCAAACAAATGTACCGATCATAGTTGGGGTATCTGTCACTACAGTTTCAGTTCTCTATATCCTGGCCGTATCGAGCTACCATATTGTCATCCCCCTCACTGATATTGTTAAAGATACTCCAATAGCAAGCCAATTTGGTCTCACTACCATGGGTAGATTCGGAAAGATATTTCTAGCCTTAGCAGTCATGGTATCATCTTTAGGTAATGTTCACTGCACTTTCCTAGCAGCAAGTCGGACTATTCACTCGGCAGCAGTAGAGGAGCTGCTACCAGAAGCTCTGACTTTGGTGAGCAAGAGATTTAAAACTCCGATAGTGACGGTGTTCTACTTGGGTCTGGTGACGGGAGTGTTTGTAGTAATTGGAGACCTGAACGGACTGATAGACTCGGCGGTGTTCACCACATTTCCCTTCTACGTTATGTGCTGTGTCGGAGTGTTTGTGATGAGGATACGAGCCCCTGACCTGGAGCGACCCTACAGGGTGCCGCTAGTTTTCCCTGCTTTCTTCATCTTGTTCGGTATCTTTGCCTTCGTTACCCCCTTCACCTCTCAAGCAACCTGGAAGATATCTCTGATGTGGGTGATGGTGCTGATGACTGGAGTTCCTGTTTACTTCTTGTTCGTCAGGAATGTATTCAAATTAGACTGTTTTCATAAGGCTTCAAAAACATTGACTAGATTTCTGGCTACCACTTTGGATTGTGAATAATTGGTTTGTAGTTAGTTTTTGCTTGCAGTCCTGTTACAGGATAAGAAGACTTTGATATTGATTTTATAGTACGTTTTAATGTTAGTAAATATAAACTACACATTTTACGAAACCTATTACGGCTGAATTCATTTCTTTCTATAATTATAAGGATCTTACACCAAGAAGTTTTAAAGCAAGATTGACTGTACATGGGTCTAAACTCTGAACACAACACAATTCAACGGATTATAATACAAAACATGGGCAGACAGACCATTGTAATTAATAGTTAAAGAGAATTCAAAAAGTAGCAAAACAAGTGCACCATTTCAAATGGTTCAAACATTAATAGTAGGAAACAACCATCTCAATGATGATGGTGAAAAGTTAATATTGGATATCTTTGAAACATTTGTTAGCAAATGAATTGATTTAAAGAATAAATTTATTGATTCATCGGATTTTAAGATATCAAGAGCGTTCTCAAACTTGTGAGATTGTCTTATAACATTAAAGCTATACTCGCACAGAAATAAATTTGGAGGCACAAAATACTGTAATATGTAATATGTAATATGAAATTCAGCCCAAAATGAGGTGGGCTGGGGTTATTTCAACAAACCTTAAACCTTAAATCCTTCAAAATTCTTCATAAAAAATTAAGATAAACTTTACTCCGATATCAAAACCGTCATCAATAACAATGGCAACATGGACAAATGATTGATGGTTGCAGATGGGCGGGAATTTGCCAAAATATACATAAAATTCATTCCCGTAACCATGCAGCGTTTTTAACTGATATGTAATATTAACCTGGTACAATCTGACAAGTTTCACTTGACTTCCGCGGTGTCTGTGACCAGTCCGTGAGGTGTGACCCCCCTACTCATACAGTCTTGTTGTTTATGGGGGGTTTCACCCCTCGGGGTGGTCCGCTCAGATCTTGGTGTCGGGGGTCTGGACCCGTTGGTTGTTGCTCGATTTTCCGAAATAGGAACTTCCTGGTGGTAAACGAAACAATCAGACAACCATCTCAACATAACTCTGACAGAAATCTCATGTTTAACTGCACCAATCTCATTTAAACATTATCGTAATGAAGATTTCACGATATGCTACATTGAATCTCGGGGATCATACAATCAGGAATCGGCTGATGGAATACTGGGCGGATCTGATCATTCACACAATCGACACTGTTCACAGGTCAGCGTATAAATCTTACTTGCACTTGCTTTGTCACGTGACGAGAGATATCACAATGATCTGATATCTCGTGACCGGACTTCACACTCACTGGTTACCTGGTCAGTGGACGGCTCTACCGCTGGCTCAGGGCTCTCCTGGGCGCCCCTCACGCTCCGGTCCAGTCGTTCTAATATGGCCTGAGCTTCTGGAGTCACAGCAATCGGGATCGGGAAAATCACTGACTCCTCTTCTTTGGGAGGCCTACCTGTAGTCGGCATCCATAAACAGTCGGTCATATTGTTAGTATTATCGCACAGAAAAACAAAACAAAAAACAGAATCTACTTGTTAGATCTATGCCGAGCTAGTGCTACCCGAGCTTTGCAAGTTGCGACACATCTCCTTAATTTCCGCATGATTCCGGACTTACAGCTGGTCACCAGTGGACCGTCCTCGAAGAAGACAATTATGATGGTAATATTGTCCTGAGACCCCCGATCTACAGCTTGAGTAACCAAATGTTTGGCAGTTGCGTCAGCGTCAACGCCGAAATCTTTGACATAGTCCACCACTAATTCCACAGCCTGAGAAAAACGAAAAAGTTACATTTGAAATATAATGCCTTACCTGTAACAGGTTGGTTCCGCAATTATACTCTATACATGGCACATCGTAAAACTCGATCAGTGATATATGTTTACCTGGGGACCCCAGGCTATTATGTTCATATAAATAAAGATTCGGCAGAATGACAGGCTGAGCGCCGCCCAGTAAATATATGTAACTGTAACATGTAAGCGCTATACATAGGTAAACTGACAATAACATTACAGATTCGCGGGCTTCTTATAATATTTGATAATCATCCTAATCCTATCTAGATGTTCTTTGAAACCGACTGGTTTTAAAAGATTTAATACGTGCAGTAATGATAGTTGCTCAATTTCAGTAAACTTAGTAAAACCAAAAACGGAAATAGCTGGCAGCGTGCATAAGCAGAACTAAAAACGTGAGAACGTACGTGTTTTGCGCGAACGTCATCACGCAAAAGAACATCGCGCGTTACAACTACAATGTGTAACGATTCGAGCGCGCGCGCACAGTCTAGCACGGCATTGAAGACGGTTGAATGGAATGTTGTGACCAATAGGCTGACGCTGTTATTACTCGTCGGGCATAGTCTCACCAGTTACATACCCCATGAGGTTAACAAACGAAAAATGCAAGTAAAATAATAATTACCTCCCAAGGTGGAATGACATCCCACAGTCCATCACATGCGATCACAACAAAGTCTTCAGTTCCATCCAAAAGTAGCGACTTTATATCTGGGTCTCCACTACCACCAAATATTGAAGTCAGAATTTCAGAAACTCAAAGGTTACAATTTAGTTCACACAAAATGCTTTGTACAACAATGAATGCAGGGCTAAAAAGTAAAAACTCCAAGATTTCGAACAGTTAAATGGAATGTGGTTGTAAAACACATTAAGAGCACACCTCACGTAGGGCTTGTGGGATGCATCACCAATGGCACGGGACACGGACAGAGTACCATTTACGCGCCACGCACCAAACCATACTACGCACCCGCCTAGGTCTTCTATACGCTTCTTCTCATCCTGAAAAGTTTAGCGTTACTAACCTGCGTTACTCTTTACTAACTTATCTTTACTTGCCATTAGTGTATCGTGGTTAACCACTAGCATTTTAATCTGAAATGTAAATAACCATTGATTTGTTGTTAACACGGTTTGCTGCTATCAACTACCGTCAAACAGTGGATTTGCAACGCCCGTTTGAGATGTTTTGACGGAATACCGACAAGTTCAACAAACTGGCAACGTTTTTACGTCAAATTGGTGCACACCTTACACTGCAAGGAAAAATGTACTCAAACTTCGCATTCCAATGTTCCCGGCTAATAAAGTACACTGTACCGAGCTTTTTTCTCTGAACATCAGCTTTATTCCATAGTCAGTAGGCAAATGTCTACAAAGGAATGTACCCAGTTTAAAAGTGCAGCCTTTGCATTCCAATGGTATCCTAGCCCACTATGAGTTACAAGTTCACGAAACCCAAAATGAGGGAACATTCCTCTGACGTCCTGATAACGAGCCAATATAACCTAATATTCCTATAACTGGAGCCATGTAATAAGGTAATCCAACCATAACAACACGGATCAAATAACACAGCATGCGCTAAGTGCCCACACTTGGACAAGTTCCAGGCCACTCAGACAAATATGTGGGTACAGCTAATATCTAATGAGCTATTGGGTACTTTATGTGTGTACTGTGTGTACTGTAAATACTTAAGAAAAATATAATTAGATATGAAGAATCCGGGCACTTTAAGCTAGCGTTATGTTTAGATAGGTTTTCCGCAACCGGGGGAATACTTAAATAACTTAACAGAGAGAACGAGTCACAGTAAGTTTCTCCACACAGATTTTTGGCAGATCTATCAAGTGAGACAGACGAGTCAGGGGATGACATCACGTGACCGCTGACTAGGTGGTTAAAATCTAATCAGGGTTGTCAGGATCAACTAAGAAGCTCCCTTGTGCGCCGCTCCCTTGACAACGGCTCACTAGAGAGCACTCTATCTCTATCTAACTAGCAATAGCAGATCTCATGGGGTATGATAACACAGTTTATATTGTCAGATGACAGGGTCACACTATACTATTCTAATGACCTGATAAATTATAACCGCTGATGATAATTTAATGTACAATGATTATTGCAGACATGTGAAGTTGAGTGGTGGTGTGACGTCGAGGAGCTTCTCCTGTTATCGTTAGTAGATTATCATGAGAAATGATAATATGTCATTACATGGTGTCACATGATGGTGAGTCCTGTACTGAATTAGTAAGCTTCACCTTTGTTATTATATAACGCACAATAGCATAGTAATTATAAGTTGTGCTAGATATTATACGAGACACGTCATTCGCAGTAACGTATTAAGTATTGTGAGGATTAATTAAATCATTAGCTGTTTTTGCAGCTGTGCAGCAATCGCCCGGGATTTCCGGAGACTGGGAGCGGTTTTCTCCGAATCATTCATGATCTCTACCGATCAATGATTATAAACAGCCACTGAACCAGGGGAGGCTATTCTTTTGTCGTTAAATTATTAATGGCTCCATTGCAAAGTTACTGAGATACTGAAGAAATATCAATTATTTGAGCAATGATATCAGAAACAAGCTTGACAGGGTCATTTGCAAACATATTTGTGGATATGGGTGGTTATTATAATCTGGGTGATATCCTGATATTGAAATGTTAGAAATGTTCACAGAGGCACAGTATGAATAGTGTTTATGGTTGTTAGAGTGTGGCCCCGCTCCGGCACATGTTGGTCTATCTTAAACATCAGTGTGCTTCATTAATTAGTACCGATTTGATGGCCAATTTGATTGGTTTTTATCGCTCTGGAATGTAAGATAAAACACTTCAACTCGCCTCTCTTTCAGGTTTATGAGGGGTCATGATGTCGATGTGAGTCTGATTCCTTGCCAGAATCGCTTGAGAGTCCCCGACCCATCCCACGTGAAGGTGTGTCGAGGTTATCATGATTACAACAGAGGTGGTTCCGCTTCGGAGGTTCTGCGGGGACCATTAGTTAATTGGGCAATTAAAACGCAGTTAGTTAATTAAGTTATTAGTGTAATTAGTTAATAAAGTGACTAAGTTATAAGCTATTACACATCATTGTCAGTATATTGATATGAACCGCTGATCTAACAATTGATAAGGGATATTATGTGAGCCGTTATTATATAAGAACTGCATATTGTTCGGTTAGGGAGACGATGCACTGTACATGACTATTCACAGCTATGTTCGTTAATACCGGTGAATAATTATTCATATCTTTTGACATCGTCAACAAAATATTTGTATTAGCCGAGGAACAGAAATAATAAAACTCCCGAGAGTCTCGTCATGCTATCGGTATGCTTTTAAAGTTTTATGACGAAAGAATTTGTCAAAATTTGTCCGGACTTAGGGAGGTTTAAGAATAACCACTAAATTTTGATTCAATAATCAATGTAATAGGTACTCATTCCAGATGAATCAGTCTAAACATTTGATTAAGACGATCTTGCAGGTCTTGAGACTTTCCAGATTAAAGAGTGAAGTGAAGCTCCTTCTAGATCTGTGACTCGTAGTTTAAAGCATTTAACAGATAAAGAATATACAATCCTAATACCTCTCTGTTGGCTTTCTGAACAAAGTTCTTGTCTGTTAAGATGAACCCCTCTTCAATAGCTTTAGCAGGGTCGTTCACGAAGTTTGGGCTCTTAGCTATGTTGAGATGTAAGTGCTGTATAGTGTACGCCACCGCGTCAATACCTCCGTGTCCGTCATACACCGCGTGGTACGACACTCGTTTACCCTGGAGCAGATTTAGGTTACGTTTAATCACTGAATTGAAGCTAGGGTGAGGGATGGGACGAGGGGGTTATTTCGTCAATCTAGTGCGGGACAATTTTGCACGTGACTAGCAAAAATAACCTTCGTTGATTAGATTGGTAAAATTTCGTCAAAATCTTAACTGATATCTTGCTACATGGTGGACTAACTATAAAATTGCGCCAATTTACAGCGTCCATTTTTACGGTGCTGTTACTTCTGAGTTGCATTGAATAGAGCGCGAGCATGTTACAGAATTACAAGAGTTTCAGTAAAACTCAGTTTAAAACACCACGTGTAAATGCATGCTCATTAGCCTATGTAACAGCTTGGTGTTTCATTATTGAACGATCGTGTATTATAATAATACAACTCGTTGTACAACATGTAACTAAGCGAGTATTGAATTTAGTTAATCAACTAAATAAACTAAGTAAATAAACTCAACATTTACACCACAGTACAACACGTCCTGTAGTTTGACCGTATACACTCTGTCAACAAACTAGCCCGCCTTTGTGGTTTGTGTTAGTTAGTGGTTAAGCCTATTACATGTTAATATAATGATATTATGTTGTATATGTAATTATAATTGAGTGGACTGTCAATGCAGTGGTAAGAGCAGCGAGAATGTTCTCACTAGTGAGAGACGTGATACGAGGTGAGTTTTGATGCGTCCTCTAATCATTCCTAATACGGAAGTGTGGCACCTGACTCCGACTAGACAATATATATTTGACAAGCACAATGCCCATTGTAATATCACCCTTCAGAAGTCATAAAATGGTTTCTGAGTTGAGTATCTCGACTACTAAGACTACAGCTTGCAGTTGCAATTCTCCTACATACATGTCGTAATTTGATGGCAAATTTGAAATTTGCAGGAACTTCCAAACTACAAGGCGAGTTGCGACATTAGTAATGTCTGAAATGACATTGGCGTTATGGCAGAGAAATTGTGGCAGGACTATGACAATTTGGTAATGGTAGAAGTCAACCATTTATGGACAGTCTAGAAAACCATCTAAACTATGTATATAATATATTCTACACTTTCGCTATATTTCATGCTGTAACGCACTCACTATTTAATAATGAATAACTTACAAAAGCACATTACACATACTTACATAACAATATTAACTTAACAAGCAGATGTACTGAAATAGTGAGATACCAATTAAATATCGGATGTACATCAGGCCTAATTATTAACGAGAAATAACTGCAGCCCATTAAATATTAAGTGAAAAGGATGTGTGGTTGTGTAGGTGTGAAGCATATAATATATATATATTATATAACTACAAAGTATAAAACATCCCAAGCTAGAGAGCCATGGCAGGGCCAGGCAAAGCTTGGACCAAAGCACACTGAACCGACGGAGCATGTCATGTGACCTAAACATCTAACAGAAGTTTTCACCTCTAGTTGGAGCAAGTTGTTGACTGTTGAGGTTGGGTATACAGATATAGGTCTCACCTCTAGTTGAAGCAAGTTGTTGAGGTTGGGTATACAGATATATCTGTCCTCCATCTTCTTCCTTCTGTTCTGATCAGCACATGCTCCTGAGAATATCTTGCCGTCGTCCAGCATGTACTCCTTCACAAAGTAAGGTAGCTCCGGGGCAGACTGCCACCTACAACACACCTGGGAGGTGAGACTGGTCACGTGACATGTTACTATTATTTAACAGATTATTAATAAACTGCTAACCCACCTACTCAGGTATGACATAAGTTTAACTATGCCTATTATAAACAGAGATTATATTATCAGCGATTCATAACTGTGATGGTATTGAGGCTGTTAAGATACATTTGAGTCAGAGTACCCATTATTGACATTTGCTCTATTTATATATCACTCTCACGCTGCTGTATTTAAATGTCGATTCTAAATTTAGTCCCCCAAGAAGTACTAAGTAGTGTGCGTGCGTGTGAGGAGTTTGTAAAGTACCTGATGGACTTTGTTGAAAACACATCTTGCTACCTCGGCTGCCACCGTCTCTGAAAGTACAAATATCTTAAACTGTCAACAACAGGTACGTTTAACTACTTTCAACACTAACATGTAACATCTTGCTGAAACATATTAATAAGTTAATATGTAATTATTACCAACATCTACCCCAAGGGGAATGTGGTAGTCTAGTTAGTTCCTGTACTACTAGCGTGGAACAACAGGACAAAACATCGCAAACAAAAATGTCTGCAAACATTGAAAACATTGAAATAATGTCTGGACTCACGTGTTCCTTGTTCGGTGTCGTGTTGAGTAAAGTTCTGTGTTGTGTCCAGCAGTTCTACTTCTTTAGCTATGTGATAAGATAACACTAACGCGAAGTTTAGAGGACAGTCCCTGAAATGGGTAGGCAAATCTCATTAGTTTAAAATACTGCAAATATGTGTTTATAAATACGAAAATATTTATCATGATAACAAATTGAAATCAAGGTTCTTTCAACGCACATTTCATTTCAATTTTAAAACTGACCGTGAGAAAATTAAGCAACATAAAATCCTGAACGTACAGTTTGTGAAGATAAGAACTTGCCCAGCTCATACAAGCGCCCTGCATCTCATGATTAGAAATGTAGTAGGCTATAATACGCAGTGGGTTCTCCTCCTTCTCGTACTTATCTGTGTTATCTGCACAGAACTTGTTCAGCCACGCCAACGCTCCTGACATTTCCTCGTCCGATGCCATGATAGCTAATTAAGTTATTGGTTAATTAAAATGATTATGACTGATTATTTATCAGTGGGTTTAATATAACAGTTGAAAAGACAGCGTCGGATCATAAATCGGTCAGAGACAAGAGATCGGAAGATACTTCGCAATTCTATTTACACAATAAACAATAAATTGAAGGTTCGAAGCCGCGCCCTGAAATTTCCTGACGAAAAAACCGTATTTCTGGAACGATTTGCATCACAGCAGCTGCAAACAGCAATTTAAAGTCTAGACATTTAGCAAATCTTTACCATTTGGTACCACATCCACCGTCATTGTTCAGAAACCATTAGTACTAGAAGAATGGGCAGTCTACTAAAATGGCACTATTTCAAAGATTTACGTGTCGTACTAACGCATTTCGAACAAAACTTAAAAGAGAGCTTGCATTTTCCAAACAACTAGCTTGCTTAGCTTTACCAGAAAATGTTGTTGGTGTGTATAACCTTATAACGATGTAGCGTTTGTGGAAGTTTGATAATTGATATACAATTTCTAACTCGCCAGTTCTTCAGGGGGTAAATGTACGGTGTTTTATACTTGTTTCTTCTCACATCTTGTATACAAGGTAACTGTTTTATCTAATTTATTATTCCGTAGGTTTGTTTCAGTGCATTATTCTGAAGATAATATAACTAATTATAAATATATGCACTAAGTACATTGTACAGTGATGAAAAGTTCTCACTGTATGACATTGTTGTGTATGACAAAATCACTTAGCTACATTATATATCGGTTACCGTTACTATTCAACATGTCTCCAGGAGTGTGGAGTAGTAAAGATTTGTTAGCGTACTGGAGACTAGACAGCAAATATCTGCCTCTAAAAGATCACGTGAGAACGTCTAACTTCTCTGGCTACTATCAGCAGTATGTGGAGAGACCCTTCCCTAGTACTCAGCTTTCAAATGAGAAGAGATCCTTCGTAGAAGTGAGGAGATATTAACTTTTCTTAGGACGTCAAATAAAGTGGCAGGTCGACCTCACTATGTTTGTCTTTGAAGTACGTTCTAGAAGCATCACATTAGTAGAGACATCCAGCGAAAACTAAAGCACATTTCCGGTTTGGCCAACGTTTGTGCTACGTAGCTATGACGTTGCTATGACGTAGCTAATACATTGTAATTATAGAACGACGAGGAGATAGCAATGGTAGACTCTAAGTTTACAATAATCCTGGACCTGAAAATAGCGGACACTGATGCAGGATACATCCTGCAGTGGGATACCTACTACTTTAAGTTTGCTGTGTATCAGACTGAGGACCAGAAGATACAGCTCATCTGGATCGACAAGGGTTTGTTAAAACACAACTTAAGGAGTTCTATAAGAAATAGAGAGAAGGAACAAAAGCGTGTTATCCGGCAAAAACAAGTCTCTGTCTTAGTTATCAAAGGTTAAAGTTGCCAAAACAAGTCTCTGTCTTAGTTATCAAAGGTTAACGTTGTCTACCCTAAATGATCTTTCTCTTTGGAAACCATCCAAAAAAAAGGTTAAATTAAGAAAGTTTTACCTCATAAATCTGACAGGAGGGGATAGAGTGGAAACGACCCCAGAGATACAGGAATGGTTTGATAACAGCAAGATAACGATCACTTACGACAGAGATAAGATAGTAATGTTTGTTGACGAGGTTCACATATATAACGTCACCATAGAACGTAAGAAAAATGTAAAATGTAAAATGTTTTCGGCTCGGAAACTGTCAACCTTTAATTCCCAAATGAACACTGACAACAAAAACAAACAACGCAATTTATTTTAAAACATGTTTATGAAATTGTCCGTCGTTCAAAATGAAGCCTACAATTCCAGTTCCCCGGACTCTGACGAATACAAAGTATAAGTTCCAGATAGGCCAAAACACGGAGTGCTACGTGAAGTACTGTGCACTATTCGACACAGTCCTCACTCTTGCAGAGAGAAATACAGCCCTAGAGCGTCTAGACCTAGGTAAACTGTTAAATGCTCATGTTAAAATAATATACCACTGTTACATCATATAGCATGATATCCATACCATACAACTGCTCTCACAAAAGAGAAACTAACTTGACTCATTCACGTGTTATGGTCAACATAAACGTCTTTTCTGTTCATTATATCATCATTACTCATCCTTTGACCGATATAAATCTTTTATAAGTTCACTGTTAGTTCCACCGTAAGATGTTTCAAACGCGTGTTCGTGCCCAGTACAACAGGTAAATAAGAGAAATGGCTCACAATAAGTCTGTAAACACTAACATTATACCAATTACCCTATTCCTATATTTATTGGTAGTGATGAGTGCCACCAATGATCATTGTTGTCAGTTCCGTGCATGAAAGCTCCTGTTATATTGTTGATAATATATACCTATTTAAGTTCAAAATCATTTAGCACTAAGCAATATGTTAATAGTAATAGATGTAGGCTTTTGTCAATACGACATGATGAGAAGAAAATAGCTGAAAAGTCATTTAAACCAGAGTACACTCAATCATAGTACAGCCCAGAAATATCTGTGACAAGAAAACTATAACCCAATTGCGCGGTTAACTAAAGATACTGACAGGATGTGAAGGCAAAGTAAAGATAGGAGGACTGGAAGTACCTGGTAACCAGTACGCTGTACACAGGCAGTGTATGCAGGGCTACTGGCTGGAACTTCTCTGTAAATACAGTGATGATGAGTCCTGGTGGCAGGGGGATATCCTTAAAGTCTGTGATTTTAGTGGTGAGTAATATAGACAAAACTAAAGTACGTTTGCCAGCGATGCTTAGTTACTTAATCTCAAAGTATGGTTGAGTGTATCTAGAAGATAACGATAATACAAAATGAAAGACGTACAGCAAGCTGCTAAAAGTATATATAGACTTAACATGCTTGTTGATGTGCACATACGGCTTTGAAAACTTTACAAATACTTAGTGCAACTTCGATACGTTGAGGGCGGTCGATCATAACTCTCTGAGTCGATCATAACTCTTTGAGGAACGAAATATAAGCGGGCTAAAGGAGATCACGTGATGATGATACTTCAGGTATCTACGCACCAGATAGGGCTGCACAATTAGGGGACGATATAGTGTTGATTGGGAACAGAGAAAACGCCACAATCGACAGTCTCTCAGTCACGTGGTACTTTGAGAATGGTACGTTGCACCTAGCGGTCCAAACGTTACGTTTACTTTCATGTTCTGCCCAACTTATCCTACGTCAAATGAGTAATTAATAACTCCCACTGCGCTCAAACACAAAAGAATGTCATCACATTTCACAACAAGTGTAACAGTATGATAAACTGAGTAACTCTCTAATTACTAATCACTGCCTTACTCTCTAATTAATTGCTCTAGGTACAAAGATTGAAAACAACTCGAGGTTTACGTTAACGTTTGGGAACGAAGTAAAGGATAGGAATCTGGACTGGACACAGTTGAAGATAAGGAATGTGACGTATGCAGATGAGATGAAGTACATTGTGGAGTTCAACTTTAGTTCTGGGGTTTCTATTAGTGACCATGTCAAACTGGATGTTGTGGGTAAGTTGTCGTGTGTAGCTGTTATTCAGGTGACGCAATGATTTACTTGAGAGTCAGCATGGTGACAGCCATTAGTGGATCTGATAAGTACGGGCTGTTTGCGAGTGTTTAATATTTGTAATCACCGTATCCATCTTACTAATCTCAACTGTGTCTGTGATCATGTCGATTAATGAAAAATAGACATTGACGTATGTTGCGAACAACATCAATATCATTATCCTTTATATCGTCGCAGAGGCAATTTTGTATGACGAGGTAGTGACAAAGACGACCAACATGTCAGTCAACTTCAGGGTATGGAATAACGATGATGAAGTTGTCAAGGCGGCCTGGGTTCTTGATGCTGAGAATGTACAGGTTTCTGACAAGTGACAACTTAGTTTAAGCAGAAAACGTTGAACTCTAATATTATCAAAGCCTTAAATTCATCTCAGTAAATAAATAACTAGCTAGTGTAATCACGTGACGCCATGTGACGTGATGACATCACGTGACGTATCATGACGTCACGTGACGTATTCCAACAGTTACCAGACGACAGTGAGACAGTTGTGGGGACTACAGTGTCTTATGGAGACACTAAAGTTAACGCCACAAGTGTACAGTACATTTTCAAAGATTTGCAGAGTAAGAAAAGGAGTACAGACGAAACGTTTCATGTTGGTACGTGACACCTTCTTTGCCAGCCCCTACTAAAATTAGAACCTGGAAAAAGATAAAACCTGACATAATATCACGTTGCTAGTTACTCTAACATTGAGAGAGAAGTGAAGACCTATTAATTTCAGTAACGATAAAACGTTTTAAGAAGTACAGAGAGGAGTTTCTAGCTTGCAACATTACAGGACTTCTTGAGCAACCTATTTGTGCACAGTGGTTTGATAAACATGGTATCTGCATCAACCAGGTTATCAAATTTACACCAACCCCCCCCCCCCCCCCCCCCCCCTTAATTGTTGTAAAGTCTGCAGGCCAGGGACTTATTACTATTTGTTGATAAGGCTAGGGATACCAAAATATATATCTTTGTTTTACTCAACGTTAAGTTTTCAAAATCTCGCGCCCAGCCTGACTCCAGTCTCCACTATACAGGAGAACATTACAGTATTCGAGTACAACTCTCTGACAACCTATCTGAACATTACTGGTCGAGAGGATACGGAGTATTATTGTAACTTTACACTCGCCCCCAACTCTATCTCAGAGAACAAACTCCAACTTACTGGTTAGACTGTATTAATGTCACTTGGTTAGACTGTATTAATGTCACTTGGTTAGACTGTATTAATGTCACTTGGTTAGACTGTATTAATGTCACTTGGTTAGACTGTATTAATGTCACTTGGTTGGACTGTCACAGTATTATTGTCACTTGGTTAACTTAAGAACTTACTGAGCACTCGCTAAACAGAGTACACCTGTCACACGTGGTTATTTTACAAAATTAGTCGAACTCCAGTAT